AGGAGGGGAGTGCGTCGCATGGTGTCAGGACGACTCTCTCGTCCCCGAGCGGGCGCCGGTCGGTGGAAGCCTCAGCAGGTTGTTCAGGTACGACATGGTGTGCTTCTCCGTGACCCTGTTCCTACTGGTCGCGGTGTCTTGGAGGACGATCAGGGGCAACGTTAGGGGTTAGACCCAGGGGAGAAACGTCTCGGGTTCGAGGCTTGAGGTTTTTGGGCGTCCTCGTCGGTCCTCGGCGGCTTTCCAGCTTCGGGATCCTCTCCAGCAGCTGCGCCTCGCTGAGAGCGTTCTGGGGGTGCCTGGATCGTCCCGAACGGCTGCTGGAGGTCCGAGTTATGACCCGAGGACCACCCAGGATGGGGATTGGCTCAGGTGGTTCGCTATCAGGTGCCTGTCCGCGATCTATCGGTGATGTATCGCCGATTCCAGGTCGATCTTGCCCCCCTGAGCCAGTCCCCCCTCATGTTGCTCTTCGGATGAGTCGGCCCAGTTCCGACTCTTACCTCGTCGTCGTGGTCGTTGTCGTCGTCGTCGTCGTCGTCGTCGTCGTCGTTGTCGTCTTCGTTGTCGTCGTAGTCGTCGTTGTCGTCGTCGTCGTCGTCGTCGTCGTCGTCGGCGCCGGCGCCGGCGTCGGCGTCGGCGTCGTCATCGTCGGCGTCGGCGTCGGCGTCGTCGTCGTCGTCGTCGGCGGCGTCGTCGTCGTCGTCGTCGTCGTCGTCGTCGTTGGCATCGGCGTCGTCGTCGTCGTCGTCGTCGTCGTCGTCGCCGTCGTCGTCGTCGTCGTCGTCGGGGGGCCCTTCTTACCTCCCCACCCCACGCGCTCCTCCTTACCGCCCCTCGTCTCCCGCTGCTGCTCCTCCGGTTTTTTCCCGCTGCTGCCCAGCCTTGCTCGTGCTGTATCTGCAGTGGCGTGGAGGGCTCGCAGAGAAGACGGGGGCACGAGCAGAAGATCTTTCGGAGGCTGGCCTGTGCGGGCCCCCCCTCCCCCTCCCACACTCTAGGCCTCTTAGATGGGGTCCGAGTCGCTGGGGTCGGAGGATCGCACCGCATCGTCGACGCATCGACGA